CAGAGGAGCCCATTCAGCATTTAGATGCAGCGAACAGCAAGACATTGATCATCATTAGTTATTCGAAGGGGGTCAAATGTACGGTGGGGAGAATATTGTAAATACTTTTAAGTTTGAAAACAAACTCGTTTTTTCCAGTCCTTTAAGGGAGAGAAATTTTGTCACATTTCAATTTATTTCAAAGTGACAATGTTGTGATTTAGATTTCATGATTAGGCCTAGAGTAAAAAATAAGAGAGAATCTAGAGAATAGGGGGAGAGAAAGTCGAGTCTAGAAGTGAACAAGACCATTCCGGTAGATGATAGACAAAAGAAGTGTGCGATCCTCAAAAGAATTTAAAGTCCACTGCAGATTGACTGTAAACAGTGAGTACCTACCACCCTTATTCCAAGTGGTCTGGCAAACGTTTTACATGAAATTATTGTTTATTTAAATTTAAAAAGTTTTAATTGTTTGTTTAAAATTTAAAAGGAAATTTATTGATTTTAATTGTTATTTTCTTGTGTAATTAATAAATTGTTTTCAAACTTTAATTAAATTTTATTATAAAAAGGCACCTGATCGGCTGTATTCAGGTTCGATCAAGACCTTTGGGGCTCTGTTTCACATAAAAAGGATTCAGAGTTGGGCCCTTCTTGTTGAATTGAGAATAGACCGTGACACACGGAATATTAGCATCACTACACAACAAACTCCAAAGCAGTTTAATAAAATAGCTAGGCAGCCAGAACAATCAATTATAGGTATAGGGAAGGAAGAGGGGTGCCTTTGTAAGAACTAGAATAGGCCAAACATGAATCACAGTTGGGCATTTTATGTGGCAGGATACTCCCTTTATATGTGACAAGTTTAACGAGATACAATTGAACATTTATTTACCTAACCATAGGGATTCTTTTGGTTTGGTGAATTGTTTGAAAAATCTAATATCATGTGACACTCTGGACCGATATGTCGTAGCCAAAATATACTAGAGAAATAAAAAGAGACCTAAATCTAAGGCCAAAAAATTTATTTAAAATAATATATTAAACACCCCAGACAGTTTGAATCTACAAGCCTAGAATTACCCATCAAAATTCAATTAGAAGTCAAAAAACATTTTGTTATGCAAATAAAAATTAAATATTTTTCAAAACCAATTAAGCCAAAATTTAAAGACCACACTCATATGAAAGTTAACTATTTGTCCTTAAGAGAATCGTTAGGAGGCCTTTTCTATTAGCCAATGTCTCGAGAACACCTGAAGGCCCTCAGTACCTCACCCTTGGTTGTTGGAGCACTAGTCCGTTAATTTAAATTAAAGACATAAATATGGTGTAATCTCATTTCCCTTAAATATAACACAACTGCATCCAACCATACCTTTTAGTTTATTGTTTTAGTTATCTGTATGTATGGAGTATACTGCATCTTCTTCAAGTGGTATCTCTGAAATTTTTATTAAGTTTGCTGGATGGTAGGTTTTATGTAAGGGTAAGGGTATGTCAATATCATACCTAGGCCCTACCTATTGAAATAAACAATGTTATAAATCCCAGGCCCTGAAGATGATCTAAAGATCAAAACATTGGCACAATAAAAAAAGTATTTTTCTAAACCTACATTATAGCAAACTGCATCCCAAGATCTCTAAATAATTTTTAATTAACGGTCACTAAATGCCACACACTTTTCTATTATGTTAATGCTATTAAATACCTACATTTTATTGATTGCCAAAAAGTTCATTGCCATCAAAGGTTAAAACAAAAATTACATAGATTTTTTTAAAATAAGATCTATTCTACTTAGTATTTGTACAATAAATCATAGATTTTTCATTCATTTACCTATTAAATTAATTTTCACTTCCAACTCTTCACCGTTTACTTGGAGTGTTCAAACAGTTTCATTGGTATATTTTATTATTTAATAATTTACTAAATACACTGAACTTAATTGATTTTGTACAATTATTTTCATTAGATTTTACACAGTCCATGTATTTATTTATTTATTTATATTTATTTATATTTATTTATTTATTAAGGGTTTTTTCCATCGTAAATATCAAAATTCCCAGTTATACCCTTAATTAGGCTGCCAATCTCGTTAAAAAGGCGCCCCTTTTATTTCTATTGTCGGCAAGTAATTGTTTTATTTTATCTTCTGCAATTGTTTTAGTCTGGTCAAGTAAGTAAAATTGGGTATTGTTTCACCTTTGATTGAATTATTTCGTTTGATAGAATCATAGAATCGGCGACATTGACTGTTTAATATTTAAAATTCTTCAGATAAGTTTTGTAGGACAAAATAATGAATTAATGTGTGTGTTGTTAGTTCTAGCTTTGCTTTTACCAAGTTAATCGGTAATTATCTTGGGCTATTGGTTATACTTCTTATGTCGGTGTCTGAGGATGTAGCACCTCTGCCGAAGAATGCGACCGAATAAAACAGTTCTATGACTGACTGACAGACAATGCACAAACCAAATTGCTGGATTTAAAGGGCTGTGAAATTTTGGCATTGTAGAGAGTAGAAAACAATAGTTAAAAATGTGTAGTATTAGTTGTTTTTTTTGGCCTTATGATCTTTGCATATTGACGAATTCTTATATATGTTGTTCAAATTGGGGGTTATCGGGGAAAAAAGGGCCAGAGGCGACGGTGGGAATTGAAACCACGACCGCGGCGTGAGAGTCTCTCATGCTAACCACTCGGCTACCACGGTCCCCCAAGTATTAGTTAAAATAGTAAAATAATAAAATCCAAAATTCAAAATAATAAGAAGGGAAACTAAATTATAAAACACTCACTAAAGTAAACACAAATATATTTTATTAAACTATATAAAAAACCAAAGTAAAGAAAATGGCCAACACCTATTATATCCCATTCATTCAACTCACAACTTTGAATTTTTATCAAATGAAATCTATAATTAACAAAACCCAAAACAAAATTGTTAAAGAAAATTAAATCAGCTAAATTTAGTTGTAGCCTCTCTAAGGTAAAAAAACAAGAAAGCCCTGCAGGGGAACTCTGAACAGTCTTGGAGAGAATATCTCTCCATGAAAAAAGAATACAAAAAAGAGTTGAGGAAAACCAAACGAAAGGCCTGGAGGGAATATTGTCTGAAGACAGAGAATATTAAGGAAAGTGCTCGAATTTTTAAACTTTTGGAAAAGGATTATATTAATCCACTAGGTCTATTGCAGGACGAAAACGGGGTGTACTCCAAAACAAGCGAGGAGACACTGAACCTAATGGCAAGGGCCCACTTCCCAAGTTCAGGCTCCTCCGACACCCAAACCATGGATAATACACCTATGCCGAACTGGAGTAAGGCATATGAAGTGATCTCTTGGGACACATACAAATGGGCGGTATGGTCCTTCAAGAAGTTCAAGGCTGCAGGGATGGATGGAATATTTCCTGCCCTCCTACAACAGGATATGCCTGGACTATCCAGTGCTGTATGGGATCTCTTAAGGAATAGTCTAGCATTGGGGTACATACCAAAATGCTGGAAGGAAACAAGGGTAATTTTCTTACCCAAACCAGGTAAGGTCTCTTATCAATTACCTAAGTCATACAGACCTATAAGTATATCTTCTATTTTCATTAAAATAATAGAGAAAATTTTAGATAAATATATTAGACATGACTGTGGTATCAATACCTTGATACATCCTAATCAACATGCCTATTTACCAGGAAGATCAGTGGAAACTGCTCTGCATTCACTTGTAGGAAGGATTGAGAAATCATTATACAATAATGATTATACTTTAGGATGCTTCTTTGATATCCAAGGAGCGTTTGATAATGCAGATACCTCATGCATTATAGCAGCACTAAATAAATATAACATACACCAACACCTCATAGGATGGGTGAAAACATACCTAGAGGGTCGGATGGTCAATATGTGCTTAGGTAGCAGTACTCTGAGAATCAGGGTCACAGGAGGCTGTCCACAAGGAGGTTGTTTATCCCCTCTACTGTGGTTAATCACAGTAAACAGCTTATTAGAACTTCTGAATAACTCAGGCTTCTATAGCCAACTATTTTCAGACGATGGTACCATAATGATCACAGGTAAGGATCCTCTGACTCTATCACTACTGATGAAGGAGGCGACGGGGTTGCTAACCGGATGGTGTGATGACAAAGGTCTTCCGATAAATCCTGCTAAACTGGAACTGATAATGTTCAGCAGGAGAAGGATCAATAGGCCATTTTAAAAACCCAAAATGTCAGGGTATTGAATTAAAATTAAAGGATTCAATCAAATTCCTTGGGATAACGCTAGATAGGAAACTTGATTGGAAAGGCCACATTAAAAATATACATAGGAAAGGCACTATATCCATGGTGCAGTGTAGGAGAATCGTTGGTAGAACATGGGGTATTAAACCATGGGTGGCCAAATGGAAATACACCGCGATCATACTACCAAGATTTCTATTTGCAGCCCTAGTTTGGTGGAAAGGGCTAGAAAACAAAGGGGCTATTAACAAGCTAAGGTCATTCCAAAGACTAGGTTGTATGATGATGACGGGAGCATTTCCCACTACACCAACCCTAGCTTTGGAAGTGATAACAAACACTACACCTCTACACATTGAGGTCAAGGTTAAAGCATTAACCAGCTGCTATAGATTAATTAGTGAAGGCAGCTGGAACCGTAAGGGAAATAATATAGGACACTCGAAAATCTCTCAACTATTGAGTAAGGTTAACGGTCAATTATATATATATAGACTAAGTATAATATATATATAAGGTAAAAAACAAGCAAGGCTTGAACAAGGCAACAAGAGCAAGGCTTGAAGCACGCCTGTCGATCTGTCCTCCCCTCTCCCTTCACCATTATTGGGTGACCGCCGCCTCTAATGTGGCACCCAAATTTGGAGCACTCATGAGGGTGGCAGTGCATTCCTATAATGACATGGATAACTGTTAAGAAAGGATTTTTGGAAATTCCATCCCTATGTATCTATACATATAAAATAGTTCCATGTCTGTCTGACAGAGAATGCACAGACCAAACCGCTGAATCTAAAGGGAAGAATTTTTGAAAATTCATTTTCTAAGGGGATCGTATAGGCAATTTTTTACCACGTATAGATCGAAGTGAACCGTAGAGAAGAAGAATTTGAGAAATGAGATGTTATATTAGAAAGAATAATATACTAGCAATTTGCACCTTATTAGAAAGGTACATTAAAACCTGCGTAAAAGTCCTGCGTGAACGAAGTCATGGGTAAAAGCTAGTTGGTTATGTATAGACCTTTTACTGTATGTCGGGTGGTTCCTCCATGTTAGGATTTCCATTCTAGTGTCTTTCCTTTCTTTTTGTTTATGGAATCTTGGATTTTGATGTACAACGTTTGGTTCTTTTCTTATGGTTTTCAATGTAATTTTTTATTAGCTGTTTTTCTATTTCCATTTTAAAATGGGTACATGTTGTGATTGAATGTCCCGTGCTGTTGTAAGCTAAAATGGCATATTTTACATTTGTACTTATTGGGTATGATTTAAATTTTTCCTGGTTGTTAAATAGATGTATATATCCTGCAAGTGTACTGCGGAATCTTTCTAGTGTTTCATTAGATTCTGGGTGTTGTGTCGATGTGAAATATAGATTTATTTTGTGGAGATTCAAAATGTCTTTAACTAATTTATTATTGAATTAAAGTCCATTATCTACAATTGGAGTGGGTTATAAAATTTATTGCATCTACGATTTCACTACCTTGACTCGATTTCAATAAATATGCTTGAGCATATTTTGAGAATGAGTCAATTATTGTTAAGAATTTTTTGTTGTATTCATGTGGATGATCTCAAATGGTTTGCGAGGTGTAGGAGTTTTATTAAAGTTTCATTTTAAGGGAGTTCTATCATATTTTGCTCATAGACGACATCGCAAGTGTTGAAGAAGGTTTGTATGGAATTTTTTTTTAAATCCCAAGTCATCATAGACTGTACAAAACTCTCATTGGTCCTATCCTTCAATTTTCTACTTTCATATGGAATCCAAACTTTCTTCCTCATTCTTAATTTTTAGATAAAGTTCAAATAAATGTATTAGAATATTTCATTTTTGATCTCCTCTGAGATCCAAGAGCTGTAATTTTTGTTAAAAGTGAATCTCGCAGTTTAACACGTTGCAAACATAATTCATCTGTTGCTCCGATGTGTGCAGGGGATCAGTGTTCGTTTCTACAGAAAGCATATAATTTGGCGTTGACTCGGGGAGAGAGATTTTTTTTAAATAAACTATCTGAACACCTTTTCAACTTCTTCGTACTGCCGATAACCCCAGATCTTACACGCGTAGGTCAGAATAGCTCGGCATGCTCCGCTGAACATCCTCATCTTCCTGGTGGACCAGGGAACTAAGTCTTGCCTTAAAAGAGCACCCCATATTGAATTTGTTGAGGTTGCTTTTCCTTTCAATTGCTTCCTCATAGACAGTTTTGACAATAATGTAATTCCTAGATATTTATAACTGTTACAGATCTCTATGCCATTATCTTTATAGAACCATTTTTCAGATTAATCCCAACATCCTCTTTCCTCGAATATAACCATCTTCGATTTTGATAGGTTTCAGTTCAAATTCCATAAATCTCAGTAAGCCTCTTGGATCTTGATGTGGTGCTGTAATTGTCACAAATTGATACATCATCCAGAATAATATTTTTATAATGATATCTCCCAACCTCCCTATAAACTCGAGTATCTCATCCAAGTCATCAATGAATAAAGAGAATAGCAACAGACTTAGGGCGTAGCTTATCCAATCGATCGTCTATCTAAGGTACAAGATGCCTATTTTTGATAATTTTTTTGTTCTGTTGTCTATAATCTACACAAATTCACCTAGTTCCATCCTTTTTGAGCAGTAAGACCAAAGGGCATACTAAGAATCAGTCGCTTCAATTATTTCTTGCTTTAGCCACTATGAAATTTGTGACTTGACATATCTTAATTTATTAGCCAGCCTCCGTGGGTGGATTTTTACAACAGGGGATTCTGTAATTTTATTAGTCCTGTACCACTCCTTTAGGTCTCAAACATAAGTTCTAAGTACTGACAATAATTTCATTTACCTGGGGCTGGTAGTATTGAACATACGTGGATTCAACAATAAAATAATTAATTTTGTCAAATCATTTTGAGGGGTCATCGGCGATGAAAACATCTCAAATAAGAGCGCCTTTAGTATGGATTGTATTGGATCAGTGGGAGTAGGCACATTAGCCAAGGACCTAAAAGCCAGCACTGCTAATTGGATGTTGCAGATTGCTCGTCGAAAAATGACTTGGGGTATGTTTAAAATACTCTTTATTTCAAACATATATATTAAATAAAGTTTAAATGGCAATAATTAGGCTAAGTAAAATAGTACCCTCAAAGACATGACATCATAGCTACCCTTCTAGGCTAACCAAACTAGGAACAGGGCAGTGTGGACTATCTCCCATATATACGTACTGAGCACGAGGGTGCTCCGAACGAGTAGTGAGCTACTCTACTCTAGACCCGTCAAGCCTTTGTCTAGGATGTGTCAGGTTGCCCGGCCTGATGGGTGAGCACCCACCACTTTCCAGCCAACTATGTAGGGGTAGGTTTGGAAAAAGTCCAAACTACCAGCATAGAACCTTCAAGACCTTTTATTCAACAAGGCTGAACAATTCCCTGACTAATACAAATTAAAAAAAAACAATTTTCTACTTTTATACAAAATTCCCGACTAATACAAAGTAATTCATGAATGACTCTCGAACCTACTTATAACTAACAATTCACAACTCACACCTTAATTCTATTCTATTCGACTGAGGCGGCCCGACCACGACAGCTCTCTTCGGACCGCCCCTCTACTGTACGCCGGCTTCTTACTGCAGGCTCCTACTAACTTCTAACTTCTAATATAACTTCAAACTCTTAACTTCTAATCTAACTTATTCCTTATCTAACTACCAACTGAACTGACTTCGAACTCTTAATCTGATTCCTGTCCTTTAGGGATTGTATTTTTATCAATCAGTTGGACAGGAGGTGGGGAACCCGTTAAGCTTAAGAAATACTGTTATGCTACCTGGTGTCCAAAGTGCCTTTGTGTTCCCCAGGTCATTGAGCTTTTCCAGGTGAATCCTGGCATTAGCTAATGCTGGGAGTTGAGCAATAAGATCACTTGTCAGCACAACAGTACATATTAACAGGGCGATAGGCCCAGGATCGACCCATGTTTTTCAATTGTAACCACCCAGCTGTTATTTTGCCAGCTTTGTTTAGCTGCGTCTGGGAAAGACAAATGGCTCCCGCGATTCCAGGGCACTTCCGGTTGCCCAATCTTACACAATACGCTTTTCCAACAATTAGCCAAAATATTCATACTTCCAATCATAATATTTACTATACATTTAATTTCTAAAAAAAATCTGTTTAAGATTCCTTTCTGGAATCTTCACAATATAGGGCATCAATTAACAATGTCAAACAGGAATATTGATCCACTGAATCTCAAAGCAGCCTCGCCGGTGGCCACTGTTACCTCATTGAATTGTTTAAAACCGCACGCTTTTACTAATTCCTTAAGTTTCCTCAGTTCCCTCAACCACATTTTCAAGTGTCTCAAATTTGACAACGCAACATTTTTTAATTATTTCAGTTAAATCGAGTTTCACACCAAATCGACGCTTTCTTTCTTCGGCATATTCTGTTTTTTTCTCTCTTCAGCCGCTCGCCTTTCATTTTCTTTTTGCCTCCTATCTTCTCTTTTTGTCAAAAAGGAATTGAACAAACAACATGCAAATCCAACAGCACTAGCAGCCGCGAAAAAATTCATTTCTTTTAATGTGTTTTCTTTAAGAAAACAAAAATGGTTAGTAAATTTCAAAGGGTGTCAGTAGTCCACATACAGTCAATGCAGAGTATTAAAATAGAACAACAATTCCAATTCATATTGTCCTCCAATCTGTAGATCTGGAATCTTCAAATTAGCAAACACAAACGATCTCCTTATTAAGTCAATGACAAAAATAAAGAGAGAAAGTCTCTCAGTCTCAATGTAATCATACAAAGAATTACAATTCTTTTTTCTTTACTGTTCTTCTAGCTGTGGTCGAATCGACATCGCTCCTCAGTTGCTCCTCAATTGAACTTCGTTTGAGTGGTTTAATGAAGGCCTCTTTCCTTGAAAATTGGCAAGCATATTCAGGTAACTGTTTTGTACATGTTATCATGCTATTACCTTTTTCTACTTAGTGCGCGTATGAGACAGTCACTTAATTGGTGCACGACTTTACACGTGTCAACGTGAAAGTTTGTCATGTGTAAGAAACTATGTTATACGGTTGTGTATCAAGTTAGGACAAAATCCACCGAACCGTTTTTGAAATATAAGTAATTATTTCAAAACCGCGTGTTTGAGTTGGACACGTGGCCTTTGACGGTGCCGGTTCTCTTCCGCTTATTTTCCCGCCAAACTTGGCATCTTTGGTGGACATCTTTTGTACTTCATCTTCTTTTTGACATCATTTGCCCCTCCCCTTCCCCTCTCTCTTATTCCGTACCATTCTTCATTTCAGCTGTCAACTTCTTTGGCATCTTTCTTCCCTCCCCTTCCTCTCTCGTAAACTTTGCCATTCTTCATTTCAACTGTCATCCCTATTTGGCTCTTTCTTCCCTCCCCTTCGTCTCACTCGTATACTTCGCCATTCTACATTTCAGCTGTCATCCTGTTCGGCATCTTTCTTCTCTCCCCTCCCCTTCTTACGAATTCTTTGGCTTTCTTCATTTTGACTGTCAACCCTATTTGACATCTTTCTCTCCTCTCCTTCCCTTCTCTTGATTTCTTCACCTCTCTTCTTTTCAATTGTCTCTCACGTCGTTCTTTAAATTATCTCTTTAAATTGACTATTAAATAAGTTCATGTTATATTTTTCACCTGTATTACTGACATGCTGATGATGACGGAAGATATACGGAGTGATTTACCCTCTGATGCCCTGAGCCTTCCGGCGCATCTGATTGCCCTGACAGAGGCCGGTTACGTTAGGGGAAAGATCGCGTTATACATGATAGCCTACCAACAAATCCCCTAAAGTGGCAGCTTGTGTCATTGAATTAGCTGATAAATTGTATACAATCACTCGAAAAATTGCCCAAGAAAATGCCTTCCTATGGTGGCGGATTGAGCAAAGACAACGAGCCTTCATGAGAATACAGAACAGACTGCAGCTTTACCTGAGGTCGCAAATGCAATTACAGCTTTGCAACAAAGCATGGCCGAACTACGCAGCTGCAACGGGCAACAAGTTCAACCTACCAGGGCTCCATAAGTTAACACTACCAGGCCCGCTTGCCTGGAATGCTGTAGTCAAAAATAAATCGAGCAAGAAAAATTTGCCTTCGGTTAAAACTACTTCAAGCCAGCAGACCACCATAAAAAATAGAACAATGGAAAATGGAAATCTCATTATCCGCGTAGTTTCCCAAAATCTGAGCTGATAAGATTGAGCTCGCCTGTTTTCTTACGCGCCTAAACATTTCGTCGAAATATTAGGATCTATTTTTGTTTAGGTTGTATAAATTTTCCAAAAATGACATTATGGCCCAAGGATCATTTGTTTTGAGGTGCGGTATATTTTTTATTGCATCGTCTAAATATGTAGGGAATTTTTTGGGGGTAGGGACTCATACATCGTAGTTGCATTTTCGTGAGTCAATTCAAAGTTTGACCTCGCCGCGGAAGGTGTCGTTTCTGAGTGCGTAAAATCATTCATGGTCGCGTTTTCTTTAGGGGCTTCTTTTATTTGTGCCAACAAAGCATTAAGTTTTTGGATAAGCTCCTCTACTTGGCTTTGTAGAACACTATTTGCCATATTTAGCTTACAAACCTGTTCTTTTGACTGAGGTAAATGTTAATTCTTTTATCTTATGTTAATTTTAGAATTTTCTCCTGATGTCTTACATCATTCACATTACCACATCGCTCTCCTATCCAGACTCAGTTTAATAAAATTTTCATGAAATTTTAAATTGTCACAAATAAAATGATAAATATTTTTACAGATTGAACATATTGTCGCCAGGTCTGGGGCAGCCGAATTTTTACAGGGAAAACAACTTTCTATACTCAAGCTAGACTTTATTTTCTCTGAGCTTTCTGACGACATGATCGGGATGAAAAATAAAATTAAAATTGATTACTTCGAGGGAGAAAAAAAAAAATATATATATATATATTAATTGATGAATATTCCAAGTCTAAAGCGGCCCAAGACGGTCAATAATATTGTACAATATAGATTGCACAATAATTTGACGGTTGCCCCTTAACGTTCAATAATATTGTACAAAATTTTGTTTGTGCAATAAACTTGAATAGTTTGAAGGCGATATTGAAGTTTGTGCAATATTTTCCACTTGTTGATACCTCACAAACTGACTGAATTGCGCAATAATGCCAACAGACGGTGCAATATTTTCCAGGTTATACAATATATTTTCATCTTCGTCACTCATGCAATGTATTGCACAAACTTTCAATATCGTCTACACACGATCAATTAATTTGCACAACCCAAAATATTGTGCAATAATATTGATGGGCCGCTTAACGCGTGTATTTGTAGGGTTCAAAGTCCGCGAAGATAAATCGTAACGAATGAGTTGTTATAACCGGCGACTTTTCTAGTCTACAGCTTTTCCCGAAATTTAAAATTCATGCAAAATAAAGGAAATATTATTTTGAACAACTTTTAGTAACATAAAATAATTTGTTATAAACATATAAAACTTAAAATACGACTTATTAGGAATAATGGATAAAACTAAAAAAATATATATATATTTCTTTCAGGAAAAATGGATGGATCTAGGATCGCTCTGCTACCAGATTTCCACGACCTCCTCGACTCTTTGTTGATGAGATGGTGGAAAAAGAGGTGCGGTGCACTAAAAAAGGAGATTACGGGAATAAGGTTAAATTATTAAAAATAAAGGTACTTCTGTATTGTTAAGAAAAAAACAAATAAAGGGGGAGAAAAGTTTTATCCAAATGATGCCTTTTTGGGTTATTTTAATTACACTGCACTTAATTTGGGGGTCCCCTCTGCAGCAGGTCTGTCCACAACGTGTCCTTAGCGCACCTGGCGCATAACGCTGGCGGAGTCTCTTTCCCCGCTGGAAAAGGGTGGCCACGCCCCCGCTTCCACGGTTCACGTGTCGCGAGATCTTCTGAGTCGTGACAAGGATATAAAGCTACCCAAAAAAACCACTGCCGAACCAGCTAAACAACAACAGGAAGAAAGCGGTGAGACAGAAAAAGTAACTCACCGCGAGGACCAGTGGAAAATTGTATCAAAGAAGAAACATACAAAGGAAAGCACAGAAAACAAAGCAAGATATGATAAAAAGATCGCTGAAGATGTTAGAAAATCAGTACAGAAGCAGGATAAGGTCCTCATAGACTTAGCAGAGGGAATGTTCCCCTCTGAATTTCTTACGAACGTCAAAGAGGTCAACAATCCAAGACGCACAAAAATTAAAATAGATGGCATACGCACCACCTCCAAAGGTGGAATTGCAATTCGGGTCAACGGAGACGCTGATAGAGATGCCATCTTGAACGATCCGGCCTTCCAAGGAATTGGTGTTAAACCAAGTCCCCGGAGGAAGAGGAATCCTCGTGTCATCCTTTTAAGGGTTCCAAAAGAAAGGGATTCCAGTTAATGCTGAATATATCAAGGTTTACAGATGGCTTCAAAACCAAGTATGAGCCAGAAGCCTGGCATTTATGGTAATAAACCAGGGAATAGAATTCACACAAGCCTTGGATAACATGCCACCATATTTCAAACGGAAAATGTGGCTATTGAACATATTGTGCCAGGGAGATTGAAAGGTAAAATACCTATTGCGTGCCCCATCGTATCGAGAAAATCTGCGGGATTTTGCGGATACCTTATTGTTAATTGCAAATATATTTGAAGATGTGAGTCAACAGGACTTGGTCGAAATAATTAAACAACGTGTCCAGCCCAGATTCTTGGCACTGTTGCACGACGATCTACAGGAGAATTGAAGAAATATTCGCTAGTCGGAACGGATCAGGAAAAAACGGCAGGGAAAATATTAAATTGGGCGATAAAAAAAAACATCATTTGAGAGCTAAAGAGAAGCAAGAAATTTATTATTCGTCGGAAACAGAATCGTCGCTTAGCTCGGTACGAGTCGCCTCTTCTAAATGATTTATATAAAATATATAAATAGAAAACACTTCAAAGCTAACAGAGAATATTCCCACGTCGCACCGGCAAGGATTAAGGATATTTCTAAAACAAAAACAGATAACGTGGGTATGGATACACAGATTAATAGTCTGATAAGAACCGAACATGAATTATTTTGTCCAGATAGAATAGTAGCTGATTGGGTCGTATACTCCGGCAACCAACTCAGCTCAACATAAACCCATTTTCATAACAAAAAATGGAGTTTCAAAATCAGAAAGAAAAACTCACAAGTATCATGAAAGGATTAGGTACAATCAAGGATATTTCCGGCTCGCGAAGGCTATAGCGTAAATTAGATCGTGTCAGCATCTGTATAGATCGCGAACTGACGTGAAAAATCTGTAGTCTTTAGTTATAAATGACTTCTTCTTACTACATTCGTCCATCTTCGATGAATTCACTACTTGATTGTACCTAATCCTTTCATGATACTTGTGAGATTTCTTTATTATCTCGCCCAGTAATGTGCCTTCCTGTTGTGCTTGGCAGAAGTTTTGAAAGATTTCTGGGACTTCCGTCAAAACGACGTTTATTTCCTTCGGCTTTTCTTCACTTTCTTCCGAGAAATTACGAGATAAATAGACTGCAACGGTGTTGCATTTTCCGTTTATATGATGAGGAGTGAAATCAAATGCTAAAATTTTCAAAAGCCATTTGGCCAACGTTCTTTTGGCGTTTTGCATCTTAAAAAGAATGCTTAAAGCCTTGCGGTCGGTGTAAAGATCGAAGCGGTTGTGTTCGATGTAAACTCGAAAAATTTTCCAACGCGAAAATGTGCCCAGCCAATTCCATTTCGTATGCACTATAATTCCTTTGTTCACTATCCGTATATTTTCGGAAAATTTTTCGAGTTTACATCGAACACAACCGCTTCGATCTTTACACCGACCGCAAACAAGGCTTTAAGCATTCTTTTTAAGATGCAAAACGCCAAAAGAAGGTTGGCCACATGGCTTTTGAAAATTGTAGCATTTGATTTCACTCTTCATCATATAAACGGAAAATGCAACACCGTTGCAGTCTATTTATCTCGGAATTTCTCGGAAGAAAGTGAAGAAAGCCCGAAGGAAATAAACGTCGTATTGACGGAAGTCCCTGAAATCTTTCAAAATTTCTGCCAAGCACAACAGGAAGGCACATTACTGGGCGAGATAATAAAGAAATCTCACAAGTATCATGGAAGGATTAGGTATAACCAAGTAGTGAATTCATCGAAGATGGACGAATGTAGTAAGAAGAAGTCATTTATAACTAAAGACTACAGATTTTTCACGTCAGTTCCCGATTTCTACCGATGCTGACACGATCGAATTTGAGCTATAGCGTTCGCAAGCCGGAAATATACGAGTAGTGAACAAAGGAATTATAGTGCATACGAAATGGAATTGGCTGGGCACATATACAATGTAGAGAGTTTAGATCGAGGAAAATGGCAAGAACTTTGACAAACGAAGATGTTTTAAATAACCTTCTGATCAGCTCCGATCCCAGGATTTCCACCCTCAGACCAAACTGTTCATTGAAAAATCCCAGATGTTGCTTAACGTTAAGATCATTTGCCCGAAGATGACCTTGAAGATGAAGATGACACTTTTATGGATTGTGCTGAAGTACCTGAATCGCTATCGCTAGGAATGACCAGCGCTGATAATATGATGGAGTTAAATTAATTCAACACCATTTTAATTTTCTTTTGTATATTTTTTGGTTTATTTTGTATATTCTTTGCTTATTTTGATCGATTTTTTTTTATTCGGTCAATTTATTACTCTTCAATGTTTTGTAAATAATAAAATTTTAAATCGTTGTTCTTATTTGCCTAGTTGTTTTCGCACCGCTCCAATCACCAAAATGACCTCACTAATCGATTCTACAATAAAAAACAAAGAGAATACGTTCCACTATGAAATATTTATGGAGGAATGTCAGGGTAAAAATGCCATGTCGAGAAAATCGCACTATTCGTTCCACTGTGGAACAGTGCGACCAGTTTGTCACCCTTTCTCCCCTGGATGTTGATCTCCGGGTGTGGAAGCAGAAAGGGGTACAAATAAAATGAAATGAAAGAAAGCCAAAAATAAACCTAAAACAAATAAATATATGCCTTACACTACAATAAATAATGCCCTACACCAATATTATTTCAACAAAAATTTCTCTCGCCTGATTTTCTCTCTTTCTCACTTTTAAAGATTCAACTTTTACGACGGCCTGAGCGCTCAGGGCACCTGCCTTCGCTCGCTCAATCCTTCAGAGACCCTTTCAGTTGGAGTGGGGCTTCCCCGCCCTTACGGGGACGCTTTGGTCCGTGGCAGCCCTATCGGCGAAAGTCCAGAGTCGTTTGGGACTGAATCAGAGGCCTGTCAGACATTGGGAAAATAACAAAAAATTACCCTTGTCTGGGTACCAGGGCACAACAGATAGGCACCAAAGAGGCCGTTAACTTAGCTAAAGTTTGATGAGGACATCTTGACCTTAAACCCTTTTGTGGTACACCAAACTGCCAAAAACGCGGATCCATTTCCGTTCTCTACTAATATGGAAAAACATAAGGGCATTAAAAAATAACGTTTCAGGTGATTGAAAGTATGTATTAACTTGAAGGAATGTTGTGAGAGAGAAGGCAGATGGAATAATATTGAGTATTCTATTGAGTGGATATTAATATTAGAGGATTCAGCAAAAACAGAAACAAAATATCTTAAATTTTGCGATCGATTATCTTCGGTTAATTGATTCCTGTTTGGTTCTGCCTCGAATAATTTAATTCCTTACTCCACCCGACACCGAGCCGTGTTTGTTCAAATTTCAACGTTCAATGGTTGTGTGAGGTACAGCTTCATAGGGATGTATGTTCCACCTACGTCTCCATTGGCAAGGATCTGGGCGACATGGGGCTATCTCCAGTCCATCGGTGAGCACTTGGAGTAAAAGGACATTTCACGTCTATCTCTTGTTGATCAATAGGCGACTTTAAAGGGAGTCGGGAGTTGACAGCCAGAGGTGACAACTATTATCTGGCCTTCGAAGGGATCAGGTACGCTAAGCCGCCGATCGGGTACAACAGTTTCAGGGTAAAACAGCGAACAATTTAAAGGAGTATGGTTTGTGTTCATATTTTTTAAATTTGACAAAGGACCCGATCAGTTTCAACTATCAAGGCAACACGGAGCGTAAGGTGCACTGTATGGACATAGACTCAAACGGTAAAGTATTCGGAGAAGAAGACTGCCTCTGCATCAACGTCTACACCCCTTTGCCTTACGTCAGTACCTGATTTTTTTCCATTTAAATTGTGTATTTTAAGTTTTCTGGTCCACAGGTAAATAAAAGCTTGCCTGTGTTGATCTGGATCGACGGGCGCAGATTTCATTACGAAAGTGTCAGAGACAGCGTGTGCCAGCCTGCCCGGCTCGTGGAAAAATGGATGGTGGTCGTGACGGTGAACTACCGGCTAGGACCGCTCGGTAATTCGACTCTAATTAAGTTACAGCACAAGTTACAAGTTTTCTACTTCCTTAGGCTTTCTGAGCTCGGAGGGTAAGAGCAATCCGGGAAACTACGGACTCAAAGACCAGCAGATGGCCATCGAATGGGTCTTCAAGAATATACACAAGTTCGGAGGTGATCCGAAGAAGATTACATTGGGAGGAGAAGGTGGTGGAGCCGCGCACGTCCTCTTCCATTTAAACGGTGCTCTGTCGGGCAGGATCAGCAAGGGAATAGCTCTCAGTGGGTCTAGGTTCGCACCCTGGGCCATATCTAAAATAGGATGGGTGAAGCGAAATACGAGAACGATCATGGTCTCGTTCTGGAGTCTAAACCACCTGGATCGTTTTAGGACGATGACAAGCTCGGAGATAGTCGCCAAAGCGAACAAACTAAACAACCATTGGCTGGTCTATCGCGCCATCTGGTTGGAGAAGATCTTGTATCCTTTCATACCGGTCGTGGACGGTGCGGTTATCAAGGACGACCCTTGGAAAAAGGTGGGAACGCAGGGAAACTTTTCCCTCCTTCTCGGTATTAAGGACAAAGAAGAGTCTTTCATCGATTCATGTAAGTCAGCAAGTACACACATGAAACACTCATAAACTGAAATTTCAAAAACACAGTCCTCAAGAAAGAGAAAAAAATTGGGTCACTAGTGTCGTCGATCTTTTGGGACGACTTCAACTACGAGTTGATCGTAGGGAAGGCGAACAATCTTATATCGGACGACAGGTACAAGGTGGCAGAATTCTACAAAAGCAATAACGACTTAAAGAGCATCATCAAAGACGGTTGGTTTATCTTTCCAGCCATGGCAGAGGCCAAATTCCATAGAGGTCCTTTTGAGGCGTTCATGTACCAGGACCTACGAGGTACTCCCTCTCAGAACGAAACGATGAAAAACCTGTCAGACCTGATAGCCAGATTCGTCTACGGGAAGTGAGTAGGCCATCAGTACCGTTTCACCACAATTTTCACTAATGTAATTTTCAGCCCGTCCGAGCTTAAATCGTACTCGGAGGACAAGCGTTTATTCAAAATCACAGCCGCTCTCCACAACCCAAGACTCTTCAAGGAAATGGACGAACCAATGTCGAAGAGGATGCAGACGTGGAAGTCGTTAAATATGTTACCGCCGCACGATTCCACTTCCATCGCCTCCACAGGCCAGGAGGGCAACCAGTCAACCTCTAATGCCTCCCGTGAGATGTCGCAACCACACCTCCCCTGTTTTTCCTTCCCAGAACATCTATAAATAAATAAATTTTCCTTGATTTTTCTGAACCAGATATATTTCTATTCATTATCACCTTCAGTAAAAAAAGTAAAATTTACCGTTTCTAAATAAATTCTATATGTTTCTAGACAATAGTTCATGGCGCTCAAAAACAGAACAATTTGTTTGGGGGTTTGGGGTATAGGTAGGTGTACGACAGCATGCGGACTTCGTCAATTGACAATTGTAGAATACATCCCCCATAAAGTTATCTTCCCCTTTGCTATCTCCATATTTACTGTTAAATTGACATCCAATAATCTATCAAAAAAACCTGTAGGTGTTTGAAGTGAGTCTCGCCGTCGTCAGAGTACCCCACCGAATCTTTGACTAGACAAACACATTTTAATACTTTAAAAAACTGTCTGCCTCAGAATCGTTAATATTTTTCCACCTAGGTTCAAAAGTAAGTTTTGTTGTTGACTACGCCAACTGACCCGGGCCAACCCCAAAGGGCATTACCCCATACGCCCGCTTCTCATTCGAGTGTACACTTAATTTCGGCAGCGTTAGGAGAATGTGGATAAAAACCTAACATGGCCACAAAGGCCCCTGGAAAACTCCATCCTCCCCACTTCCCCCATGTGGAGCACCCTCCGGTTAAACCCCCAGCCAGGCAACCCAGCACCCTCGGAACTACCCAAGCTCCTGACCTCTTAATTAATCTATTGGTAAATAAATAATTAATAAATAATCTGTACAAATGTACCAATATTAACAAACAACAATATAAATAGTCAATAAATAAATAAATCAGTATTTACAGTGGTAATATATAACCAATTGGTAAATAAATAAATAATAAATTACTAATGTAAATATATAAATACTACTAAATAAGTAACAATGTCAACTATTAATAAATTAATAATTAGACAAATTTTGCGTTAATTAATTGATTAATTAAGCCTTCAGTTTATTTTTATTTAAAAATTCAAACAATGTTTTAATTACCATTTCATTTTCAGAAACCATAAGGTTATTAAAACTGAAGGGCCTCTCTACCTCTTTGTAACTAAAGATTCGTTCAAACGTACCAATAGCATTCCTTGCGTCTTCATACTCCAGACAATCAAACAAAATATGTTGCATTGTCTCGGATTCATGGCATGTTTCACAATTTGGAGAGGGTCTTATACGAATTCTGTTCAGATAGGCCCCACACATACAGTGATTCGACTAATTCTGATAATCGAAGGAAAAAACGCCTTGCTTCCCCTCATTGCGAAAATCCATGAAATTCTGAAGGGTACCAAAAATTTCAGCATTGACGGAGTTGGTTCAGACCAAGAGTTATCGCAAACGATCAAGGTAAAGCAGTAGGGTGTCTACTTAACGAGTCGCAATGTCTCATTTTGTCACCAGAACGATGTTTAATAGTATAAGTAAATTCATCTAAAATCATTGCCCAACGGGCAACTTTTGGGATAAGTCCTTTTTCCTTAGGGTTTGCTGAAAAGCAGCACAGTCAGTCACAATTCTGAATGGAATACCAACTAAATATACTCGAAACTTCTTAACAGCTTCTATCACGGTTAAGGCCTCAAGTTCATAACTCGAATATTTCTTCTGGGTTCCATCTGTCTTTTTACTCATGAAGTAAACAGCATGAAAACTTCCTCTCTTCTCGTCCTTTTGTAAAAGAATCGCTCCATAACTATCCTTACTTGCGTCCGTATGAAATTCGGTTTCAACCAGTGGGTCATAAAGAACCAAAACTGGTGCATCGCACAGTTTCTGTCTTTAAGAGGTTGAAAGTTACTAGTTGATCCGAAGTCAACGTCACTGGTCCTTTAAGGTTGCCCTTTAAAGGTTCCGTCAAGGGTAAAGCAATTTTTCCATAATCCTTCATAAATTTTCTAAAAGGACCAAAAATGACTTCAAAGTTCGGTAAGTTTTCGGTTCGGGGAAATTTTCTACGGCTTTGGTTTTATATTCAGATGGTCGAACAGTGTTGTTTTCTACTAAAAGTCCTAAATATTCAATAGACGTTTTAAAAAATTGGCAATTCTTCCAATTATCGTCTAAACCATATTCAGAACAACGACTAACTTTCTAAATTGTTCACCGCTTTAGTTTCATCTTTCCCAGGAATGATAATATCATCAAAATACATCATCGTAACATTTTTGTAAATCAAGTCTTGAAAAACGTTAGCCACATACCTCACAAAAACAGCAGGAGAATTACACAATCCAAACTGGGCTCGTAAAAATTGATAATGTCCAGCTGGGGTAACGAAAGGTGTGTATTTGCGGCTTTTTTCGTCTACTGGTACATGAAAAATTCCGTTTTTCAGATCAATCAAGCTAAAAATGGTAGCTCCCCGTAACTGGTCTAACTGATCGTCGATAAGGGGCATAGGGTGTCGGTCTTTAAGTATCTTTATGTTGAGATGTCGGAAATCGACGCAAATTCTTCTTGATCCATCCTTTTTCGGTACCAGCTCGAGTGGGCTTGCAAATTCCGAATGACTAGGTTCTATAATATTGTTTTCTAACCCGTCAGCGATTTGAGCATTAACATCCATTAACTGCTCTTGAAAGTCGTCGAGGATGTGAAAAAACAGGATTCTCATCGAATAAAATTATTCTCATTTTAACAACACCATCTTTGATTTTATCCGGCTTGCAACTATCCTTTAGTTCTTCGACAAATGATTTCCATTTGGGTATAGCAACGTCTAGTTCTTGAATTTGCGTATTAATTGAAAATACTTGGGGAATTTTTTCTTCTGGCACAAAGTTAATCTTATTTTTCACAATAATCTCCCCATTTTTCAAAAATTCTCGCCCAAGCAAAATCGAGACATTCAATACAGAATCATCGACTACGGAAAATCTGACGTCAGAAAATTTACGAAATATTTCACCACGTTTCAACCGAAAATCCGCCAAGTCCCTGGATATCAGTAGAAGGGAACAATAGCTTCCCGAGAGTAGCATATGCGGATTGTCTCATAATATTTACTTCCGAACCAGTGTCAATTAATAAAATAAAACAGCAATGTTGGCAGTGATGAGGCAACATTAGTCAACCATTGATGTTACGATTTTGGAGGGGAAAATACTTCCGGCAGCAGACGACGTATCCGACGGTGTGCAAGCATGATGCGCAGAATCGTCCTGAATGGCGCGAACTATTTTGGGTTTTTCAATCCTGTTTTCGTTTATCGCCGAAAGTCTTAAAAAAACACTTTTTCTCTGATGTCGGATGTTCCGCCGACCTAAAGGCCACCGTTAGATGTCCAAAATTTCCGCACTGAAAGCACTTGGGTCCTCTTTCGCGGAATGTGCAGTCTTTCTATTTATGATCTTTTCCGCCACGATTGTAGCTCGAAACGTTCGGTAGCCCATTTACCGGGTGTCTTATTAAATTCGCCTGAAATATTTCCACCTGCTCCCATGCTCTTTTTCTGCCAATTAGCCTTCCGATTATTCAAATTCTGCTTCAACTTGTCATACATGTACAGTTTTTTCTTAAATTCTGCTAAATCTAAATCTCCGTATAAAATAATTTTATTTCGCTCATGGTTACTGATGCCAGCTATACAATACTCAATCAGCGATGTTTCGTCGATATCTCCTTGCTGAAAAATTTCTTTTAGTCGAAAATAAAAAGCTTTAACCTTCTCGTTCGGCTTTTGCTTCGTATTCGAAAGAATTCGGTAGATCTCCGCAGTTGAAATTTTCGGCTCACACTCAGTCTTGTTTTGAGTGTTTTCCAACTATTAAATCCTGCCTCGCTTCTGATAAACGATAAAGCTGTCCCCTAATGATCTTTTGGCGTATATGAGCGTTTCCAGATCCGTCCACTTCATAAGAATCGCAGTTTCTTCAATTTGTTTGATCCATTTTACAACAGTAAACGCATCATCGCCGGAAAATGAAACTGTTAAATCCTGTAAATCTCTAATCGAAAAGCATAGGGATTTCTTATCCACATCGTCATCCATCGCCATCGCACGTGCTCCAAAATCGACAAATCCGGGAGAATTTTGTCTTTATTTTGTAGGCATATTTACTTTTCGTCGTCTTGTCTTGTATTATTATACCGTCTCTTCTTTTCTTTATATGCGTCACTTTTGTTTACTCGAAACGAAAGTTCAAATTTTCAAATCCGAGAACCGACACAAATCGAGAACAAAAACAAAAACCAACTAACCTCCTCCTAGCAAGCGAGCGGACCCCAATTTTGTAGGAAAATGGGGTAAGTTAGTGGCTATTGAAATTTACTCGAAATGACTTATTAATTTTATTGATTACAAGCAACAAAAATAAAACTTAATCACACAATTTGAACAAAATAAAATGATTTCGGCACAGCGCACACGATAAACGTCTATCCTTTTTAACGGCCAAATCTCAACTCGTTCTACCCGCCTGCGGAGTATAACTCAGAATTTTTTTTTACTTCTTTGTCATTTTTTTCGGTTCCAAACTAACGTAAAATGGCAGGAAGTTAGAAAATCTACCGACCCCACAACGAAATAAACAGGAATAAGTGAGAATTTTTTTTTTACTAGTTTCCCATCTACTTTCTTTGAAAACTGAAGTAAAAACGTTGGAATTAAGAAATCCGACCGAGCTATCTACGAGATATAAGACGAAAAGCGGACAATAAATGAGGAAATTGTTTTGACTAGTTTCCATCTAGTTTGCTTGAAAACGGAAGTAAAAACGTTGGAAGTAAGAAATCCGACCAAGCTATCTACGAGATATAAGAGGAAAAGCGGAGGATAACTCAGGATTTTTCTTTTGACTAGTTTCCCATCTAGTTTCTTTGAAAACTGAAGTAAAAACGTTGCACGTAAGAAATCCGACCGAGCTATCTACGAGATACAAGAGGAAAAGCGGACAATAAATAAGAAAATTGTTTTGACTAGTTTCCATCTAGTTTGCTTGAAAACTGAAGTAAAAACATTGGAAATAAGAAATCCGACCAATCTATTTATGAGATATAAGAGGAAAAGCGGAGGATAACTCAGGATTTTTCTTTTGACTAGTTTCCCAT